CAGGAGTTGAGTAGAACAGCTTTTCTGGAGTCTTCCTGGGGGCGGGTGCAGGGGTATGACTGCTACAGGAGGGATCTTGGGAAGAAGAACAGTAGCCCCCAGCCAGGCTGATGCACCTTCTCAGACACCACCCACCATCATTGCTCATCAGAGTTCAAGGCTATGAAGGAAGATCTGTTAGCAGCTCTGCATGGAAATTAAATGCATACACGTGCGCACACATACACACACACGCACGCGTACACATAGTTGGTTCCAGCTGATGGAGATAGCATGCACTGAGAGATCATACAGCACTGATGCACATGGGATGGGACTCTGATAGGGGTCCTGGACCTGCCAGACTTTCCTGCTACGATCCCCTCATCTTCTACATCACCCCTTTGTTCCCTTCATTCCTCAGGTCTTCCTCCCCCCCCCCCCCATCTATTCTCCCCAAGTATTCCAGCCTTTTCCTCTCCCATCATCACCCAGCCCTACTGGTCCACCAGTCTCATCTCCCATCATCACGCAGCCCTCCTGGCCCACCAGAGAGGCATGAATCTAGCCGACCTCTAGCACCTCCCTTACAATATTAATGCCAGTTTGACTTGCTGTCATGGACAGTGTGCAGAGGCCTAAGGACATTCCCTGTAACTCGCAGAGGAAGGGGAGATGGGGAAGATGGCGATGTGACTTTTCCCCAGTTTTTCCGAGTAGAAGCAAAGGCGTCCAGAAGTTTGTCTCTTCCTGCTCTAGTTGGGTCACAGCTTTGACTTTGTAAAGGCAGGGAGCTCCCAGGTGGGTCAGTGAATTCCCCTGAGCCTTGGGTCTTCCCTACCTCTTGCTGAGTCTTAAGGGACCTGTACATGGCTACACTGGCCAAGGAAAGCCTTTCAGGCACCCTGAGCCAAGGAGCCCTAGAGATTTACCTCCGTGATTGGGGCTGAGAAGGCTGAGCACAACATGCGACAGTCTTGTCCCCAGTTAGAAGCAACAGGAGCTGGATGAGGATGAAAGCAAGCATTTTTGTGGGAACTCTGTGGGCTGACAGAGACTCTGGCTGGGGACGTGCCATGCCTGCCTGCCCACAGACTTCTACTCAGGAGCACCAGCCTGTCCATGCTAAGGCCACCGAAGCATGCAGTGTCACTTGGCCAGGGAGAGGCCTTATGATTCAAATAACCAGGCCAGAGTAGGTCCTGCTTCTCATCTCCTTCCTGGTTTCCTGAAGTCCAAACCAGGATCCCCATTATCAAAACCAAGAGAAACCTTTTCATCTCCAGCTCCTGAGCTTAGAAACCTGTCCTCCTCCCTTGCTCACACGTGCTCGCTCCATCCCTGCTGGAGGCGAGAAGTGACTTCCTTTCCAGTGCCCCCAGTCCCCAGAGCCAGTGCTCCCAGGACCTCCCTGCAGGTGGACACAGAGGTCCTGTGGCCCTGAAGCCTGAGAGGGGTTCCCACAGGGTGAGGGTGCCTGCACTTCTGCTAGGGGAGACTGGGAGGGGAGGCTGGAGCCAGGCAGCCAGGGAAGGTGGGTGTGTCCGTGTCAGTGGAGAAAGCCAGGCCTCCCAGTAGGCTGCCTCCTTTAACTGCTGCACTTTTAACCTCCTCAAAAGTGCCCTCAGGCTGAGGCTGGCTGTAGACCAGAGTGTGGTCTCTGAAGGGCTGTGGGGGTTTGCAGAGGCATCTCAGCAAACTGGTCTCTGTCTAGCTGCACAGACATCCTCCTTCACGCCCAGGACTGCTGTGGGACAGGCCCACCTTTTCAGTGGGCATCTAGGCCATCTAGGTTCCAGCACTAGGAAGCTGCCAACCCTGCTCAACCTCTTAGTCCTCTCTGCAGGCCCTAGTTTACATAGCTGATCCCAGGCCCTGTTTGCCAGGAAACTGATTGCTTTAGATAGACTCTACTCAGGTCCCTGCTGAATACACAGAAGTCCTGTGGTCCCCTAGATCCCTCCCCAGACATCACATCAGAGGAAGGTGCTGGAAATTCCTAACCTCTTCTTCAAAGGGCTGCCTCTCACCTTCCCTCATTCCCCCTCCGTGCAGATGGGGACAGAGCCTTTCCTATGGGAGCAGGCAGTGGGCGAGATGAGGCAATGGGCTGACTGCTGTGTAGCCATCCACTCCCCTGAGGTGCTGATGAGCCCAGCTCAGGACAGGGGCTTAACCACAGGGCCTGCTAGAGTGGAAGAACTGGGAGGTGACTGCAGGAGGGAAAATCAATGCCTGTCAGCAGGGTTGGAAATTTATTCTCCAGCCTGAAAAGGGTATTTGCATAGAGCAAGGAGGGAAAAGAAAAGCTGTAAACACATGGCTGCCATCTTCCACCCTGGCCCATTTCTTGATTAAAAAGAAAAGAATCCTTCACAAGCACCAACAGAGGCCGAGGTGGCAGGAGTCTGGATGCTGGGACAGGACCCTGGAGTCCTGTGCATCATCACAGTGACTAATACAACTGTCACAGCGATAATGGGAGTTTGCTGAGTGGAAGCTTGAAGCACTTAGTGATGCTCTCTGCTCACATTATCTAATCACCCTGTGACATCAGCGTTATCCTCACATTCAAGAAACTGAGGCACAGAGGGATGCACACAAGTGGCCAGGAGCCTCACCTAGCCACTAACCCTTTCTCTCCACTGCCTCCACTAGTTGGCAGGCATTGCCCCAACCTCCTTGCCAGGCCCGGGGAGGCAGGGGGCATACCAGATGAGAGAACCTGCTACCTTTTCACTGCAGGAAGTGGGGAGCTGTGGGTGCTGGGCAAGACTCAACCCTGAGGTCCAGACCTCCTCCCACTAGGCAGCCTGGGTGGTTAGCTTGAGACACGGGTGTGTGGTTGCAGCCAGAGCCCAATAAAAATGCTCTACTAATCCCGTTAATGAGCAGCATCGTGAAGCTCTAAATGGACAGAGCAGGGCTGGCTGGAGCCTCTGAGGAAACGAGAGGGGCCATGCAGTAGACGCTGCCCCTCCTACGGTTGGGGGAGGTGCGAGGCTGCCCAGAGGCTAAAGCAGCCACTGGCTCCCCAGACAGGCCTGCACACAACCACCACTCACTCCTAGCAGGTCCCAGAGAAAGGCCTCCCGAGGCTCTGAGCCTTGTGCTCACCTAGAAACCCACCTACCAAGCCAGAGGGTCTTCCCTCGGGGTCTCTGAGTGGTCACTGCCCTGCAGCCTGGGGGAGCCCTGGGCAGTGCTGAGTCCAAGCAGAACTTCACATCTGATCTCTGTGGGCACTCCCTCCCCACCCCTCCCCAGGTCACCCTTGGCTTCTATGCCCTCAGTATGTCACTCTCCCCAGAGACTTGAAAAGAGGCCTTCATGCATTCTGTCCAGCTTGTCTCTGGCACTTGGGCGGCAACTGGATAATGCACCATGGTAGCTGGGAGGCAGAGGAACTTCCTGGATGTGGAGATCCCCAGCCACCTTCCCAGACAGCAAGCAGGCCCCTGCCTCTCCAGGCACAGCATGGCCATTAGGGAGAGAAAGCAGGGGAACCTTGGGGACCAGCATCCCTGAGGGTAAGTCCAGCAAAGGCCAGACCAAGGCTTCCTCAACTTCAGTTTGTCCAGTGCCCTCTGGTGCTGAGGAGAGGCGCCCTTCGGGGGGTGAGGTGTCATCTTCCCATCTCCAGCTCTGTCTGTACCCAGGCAAGGCCCTGCCTCATAATCACCACACCCAGCTCCCAGGGGTCTGTGTCTACTCCTCTGGCCTTTGCAGAAGGCTGCAGCATCCCACTGTGGGGTCCGTGAAGTGATTATGTTGGCTGTAAAAAGACTCCCTCCCTCCTCTGGAGGGCAGCCTCCCACGTACACTGAGAATGACCTCCACCCTGTGTGTCTCCTTTGGTACCCACTCTGCAAACCCATTTCTACCCACTAGAATCCTCACCTCCTCTGACACCTCAGAACTTGGACCAGCTCCATATGCATGGAGCACCAGAGGATCCAGCTTTCTTGTTCGGTTGCTTATTTCCTAAGAGCTGATATTCATCCCATTGTCCCCAAGCCGCCTGTATGTTGCCCAGACTGATCCATGGCTTGAGAGGCAGCTGCACATAGCAGCTGGTTTTCACTAAGGCTGGTAGGGGATAGAGGGGCATAGCCAGTGATGGGCCACCCGAGGCCAGTCTCAGTGATCCTGGAGATGTCACTGTATCAGTCCCAAGGCTACACAGCCCAGGACTAATGGCCTCTCCTTGGTTTTGCTATTTGTGAGATGGGGAGACCAGCCTCCACCTTCCTAGGGCATGGGGTTCCTGGGGAATATGAGATCTGGATAAGATTATTGGCTGTCTGAGATGAGTCATTTATCTGAGAGCTATTCCTTCCCCCCCTACGAGACTGGGAAGCGTGGAGGACAGTCTCTATTGTGTTTCCCCTCATGGACCAGACTCTCCATCCACTCAGGGGGAAGACTGTAGGGGATGCTTCCCTAGCTCCCAGCCAGAGCCCAGCTCTGTCCTGCAGTACCAGCAGGTTCCTGGTGGACATTCCCCACAAGTCCACCTCAGCTACAGGAAAACTGCCTAGACCTGAGGGTCTTGAGAGTGGGAGACAGAGGGCAGCAGCCTAGAGGTGGAACACCTGTCATCAGTGCGTTAGAAGGCCTAGAGTTATCTCTGAGAATGGTGTCTCCCCTCTTCCCTGTCTCAGCAATCCACCTGCATGGGCCCCAACTAGCAGTGCATGGGCCCAGACCCTTCTCTCCCTCTCCCCAAAGCTGCTCATGCTCAGTGTGTGGCCCACTTTCCTGTCCCACCTCCACGCTGAAGGAGGTCCTGGCTCCATCACACAGTTCATCTCTGGGGCCCCAAGACAACTGGGTTCCCCCACATGCATGTCACCACCCTCCTTCCCTGACTGTGGACTTCTGCCCCAGCTCACCCTCCTCCCAGTGTGACCGCCCAGTCTTCTCACTCCCTTTCTACCTGCTTGCCGATATCAGCATACCTCTTGATCATTGTCCATATCTTTCCCAAAAAGATTCCTCAATGCTTTTCTTTTCAAAAGGGAAAAAAAAAGGAAAAAAAAAACAATGCCAACAGCCCAGCGTCCGTGAACAACCCAACAGTAACAAAGCATGCGTTCGGGATGGAGGAAGGTAAGGCCACACATTTCCATTTGCCGCTTGCTAATAGGGCTGGGCGGCCGGGGTGACTCTAAGGGGAGAGACTGTGTGCACCCCTGATAGAGCTCCACTTCACACACACAACACACACAGACACACACACACACTCACTCTCTCTCTCTCTCTCAGTAATTTTCTTGACTTAAGCAGGAAAAGGAGAAAAGGGTTGAACAAAAGGCATGTCAAAAGTTCCCAGGAAACAGCCCCAGGATTACCTAGCCCCTGGTTTTTCCTGTTAGTCCATGCTGAAGAATGAGCCCTGCCTCTCTTTACCACTTCATTAATTCCCTTATTCATTCAAGAAATCTCTTTTGAGCACAATTTTCCAGGTCTCATGGCTAGCTCTAGGGAGAGTGAAATGAATAGGACACAGACCCTATGGCTCTGTCATCTACATGGGAGACACATGTCAGCGAATGGTGCACAGGGTGTTAGAAGGCCTGGGGTGGGATTCAGTGTGGGACACAGAATCACAGAGGGGGCCTGGCTTGCTTTGCCAGCGGACAAGGAGGATACACAGGCACTATAGCTAAGCTTGGGAAGATGAGGAAGTGCCCTGGGGACCAAAAGAGACTGTGGTGGGCTTCTGCATGAAAGATCATGACTTGAATTCCTCAAATACACAGATGATCAGAACAGAGCAAATGATCCTAGAAGGTGGGGCATGAAGGGCTGCCTTAGAGTGCTGAGGCCTCGGAATCACCTGAGGGGTTTTGAGGAGTGGAGCTGGCAGGCGGTGGGGGTGGGGGTACTGGATGAGGTTTTCCCTGAAGACACATCACATTGGCTGTGGC